GGCGCTAACTCCGCTAAGGAAAAACGCCTTATGAGCATTCAAAAAATGCCAGATCTCCTGTTGTAAAATACAAATTTTCCGGACAATTTGTAAATTTTTTAAACTTGAAATTTTTAGAGGATTTCGTTCGCCTCTGATATAAGCGTTCTCTGAAAATATCAAAGGGAAATATTCAGAACTTTTCTCTGAAATACAAATTTTATTGGTAGCAATTTTGCAACATTCGAAGGTTCAGACGAGGTTTTGATTAACATGGAAGAATAGGGTATTCACAGCTAAACAGCTTGCCTGGAGTGGACATTATAAAAGGCTGAAGAAGGAGGAGGCAAGAAGAAGGTTGCCAAAGAAGATGCTTGATTGGGATGGTTCCGAATTCTGAATTTTTTCGCGGGAAAAATTCAAAGCTCTTTCCGATACGAGCAGGAATTTTTCTTGGTGCCGCGAGCAAAGCAAGCAACAGGAATGATGAAAGCTAATCACTCGCCCTTTTTGTTTTCAAAGGGAGTAAGTGCACTACATTTTGCAATTCGAAACTACACTTTCTGGCTCATCTGTGAAACCACTCAAGTGCACAGGGGAAATTAATGGTATACTAACGTTGTGTCTAAAATGAACCAGAAATTTTAATTCCTGATTTCAAAAGTTAGTCGAAATCACTTTTAATATAACTGGACAAAAAACGCCTCTGGAAACTTGGATTATTTCTGCTCGTCAAATTTTTGAGAGTCCTTTCCGTGCTTTTTGTCGCCACCTTTCTTCTTACATTCAAACACCGAAGATGTTTCTGCAACACCCACGTGTGACTCATTCTAGTGAGGAGATAAATCGAACGCAGTTGGAAGTTGGCGACACTGGTTTTCTTCCATTTCAATCGAATAAAAATATCGATTTCAGGCGCCCCACCGTGTATCGATTGTTTTACACACATTTAAATGGAGGCAAAACAAAGTTATCAACTTCCAAGTATCGCCACCGATCGGACGCTCGGGTGACCAGCATAAGCTCCTAACGTCGAATCTTCTTCAGTCCGGTAGTGAGTTCACAGAAGCGGAATGACTTAATGTCCTTATCATTACGGAAGATGAAATATGTGTGATGTGCGTTTCGAGGAGGCATTTATGGATGAGGGATTATCGACTAAGCTCCTTGGGGATTTCAGCGATTAAATATGAGAGTTTGGACCTCCGCGGCACACCACTTAGCAGTTGATTTATTCGAACTAATTTTTCATAGTATTTAACAACACGCACCAATAGAATCATGGATTTGGTATGTGTGGGTGGTATAACAATTGACAGAGTGCATTATCTGCATCTGCAGTAAAAAATGGGGAAAATGATGAAAGTCTATGAGTACACAATTTGGGCATCTCTTGTACGTTTTGCTCATTCATAAGAGTGCACTATCAAAACACGATTGTGTCACTAATTATTTCATCTACATAATTCAGGCACAAAAACCATGATTTTCTCATCAGATGGCTGGCTCATCCTTAACACATTTCACCGAAAATAACTGACGAACTTTCAGTATTCCGATAAGCTGAAAGCTCGATTTTAACACCCTAAATTTTTACCTGGATATGAGCTATAGGTCGAGAGACCGTTATCCACAGGTAACAGTTTTTTCTTTGGTGTTGTCGAATTTAGCGCGATGAAATTTCAAACTATAATGCGGGCACGGAAACCATGATTATCTCATCAAATCGAGCACCTATTTTTGGCTCATCCTTGCCAGATTTCACCGAACATGACCGATGAACTTTCAGTATCCCGCCGAGCCGAAAGCTCGGTTTGAATACCCTAAATTTTTACCTCGATGTAAGCTGTAAGTCGAGAGACAGTTATCCACAGGTATTACAGATTTGTCGGGAACGTTACCAAAGTCAATGCTAAAGAATTTGAATCTCTATAATTCGGGTACGAAAACCACGATTTTTCTCATCAGATCGAGCACCTGTTTCCCGCTCATCCTTGCCAGATTTCACTGAAAATGACCGATAAACTTCACGGGGAAAAATCAACTTGCTGATTTAACAATTTTGTAGTTAAAAAGAGTGAGCGACATGTTTCAATGTAGATTTTACAACAAAATAATGCTGCTTTAACCACTCCCAGGATTTAATTAGCTTTCCACCATTATAAAATGTAAATTTGAAACATGTCGGATATATTTTTTAACACTTTAATTGTTAAAACAGCAATCCTCTTTTTTCCGACGCTTTCAGTATCCCGGTGAGCTGAAAGTTCAGTTTGAATACCCTAAATTTTTACCTCCATCTGAGCTGTAAGTCGAGAGACAGTTATCCACAGGTATAACAGATTTGTCGGCGACGTTGTCAAATTCAGTGCGATAGGCTTTAAATCTCTAACATTTTGATGGGAAGACTGCGGTTTTCTCATCAAATCGGACACCTGTTTTCCACCCAGCCTTGCCGAATTTTGTACAAAATCACCGAAATTCATGGAAAACAGCATAGAAATTAAGCGGATTCCTGGAAACCCGGCAAGGGAGCCTCGGGAGCGGGAAAAGTACGGTACATGGGAGCCTCGGAAGTAGTAAAACTGGACACAAACGGGAAACGGCGGCGCATCTTCGCGTATGATCTAGATTAATTTCCTTGTTGATGGTGGCAGCCCAAGCGGCGTTAATCAAGGTTAATTAGGATGGAGAAAGTTGCACTCGGCGCTCGGATTAATTAATTAATCAGTTAATTAATTAATGAAGCGTTGATCTGAGCGGTGCATCGCGCGCGCCGAGCTCGGCTCCAATCATGCGTTTCGGATTTGCGCCCGCTCGCCCGGAAGAAAGCTCACGAGTCATATGTTCCGACTTTTCATTTTGGATACGTCACGGTCGTCGACTTGCGGTCTCCTGGAAACGTCCCCGGAAGAAGAATATACTGGAGTGCATGGAGAGAATTGCCAGGTCTGTACTACAATCTGATTGGTTCATCAGTTTTAGACTTTTTACGGGCTCTTAAGGACCAATGTAAACAAACAAGATCGAAGGAAATGGGTTTGTTGTACAGAGCCACGGTAAGTGAAACGCACACTGAAAATCAAGTTTTCGGCTGCACAGACATACCGTCTTTCCCGGGCTCAGAGGCTGAAAATTCTGGGTGCTGGAGCGGAAGCTTCGACCGCTCCGGGTGCCACACCCGGAACTTTCGGCCTCTGATCGCGGACCTCGGGCGGTATGTGTATAAATGGGCAGTACAGTGTGTACGGCTTCTACGGCCACAGTTTTTTTTCCGGTGTAGGTATATCCATGCCGACCCTTTTGGCCAGAACTTGGCTTTCGGCTTCTGCCGCTGCAGCTGTGGTGCGAAATTTAAATTGCAACAACTTTGTAGTCTAGCCGAAAACAAATATGACCATCTGCTGTTGATAAAACAGCCACCTCGCCGAAAGCATACGGATTTTCATTCTTAATGAATTTGCTTGCACTCAATTCGTTCGTTTTTATCACCAACGGCAGACCATCATATTAGATGTCAGCCAAGACTGCAAAGTTGTAGAAAACACCGTGTTTAGGTGAAAAGGGTCAGTAAAAGCATACCTATACGTTTCACTTAACTTAGCACACAACGTTGCCCCTCTGACGCAAGGACTTGGTGCGCTAGTGGAAATTTAACAAGCATGTCTGTACATTTGCTTTGTGAGAGATGAGAATGTTTCATTCGGCCATTTTTTCCCCAAACATAAACACAAGAAGGTAAACAAAATGTGTGTGCAAGCACCTCTCGAATCAGTGTGATGTCTACACCTTTGTCTCAAACAAACACAAAAATTCTGACACTGAAATATACAGATCATTTTATGCGTGCATCAAGGGTGAGAGATAAAATTTGCAATTTTTCATTCTTTTCGAGACGAGCTTTAAACAATGAAGCTGCATGGCCATTGAGTCGGATCGTAAAAAAAATATTTTACGACGCTGTTGTTCTTAACAACACTTTTCAATTAAATCTCGCGAACTCGAGGCAGTGAGATGCACTCGCGTCCAGAGTCAGATAAGAAAAACACGAATGTGCTCGCCTGGGTATTAAAATGACCCACGCAGAATTTGCGACTCATCATATGAATAATTTAAGCAAATGATCGTGTTATTACCAACAGCAAAGCAAATAATAGGTACATGGCATAAAATATTTACGAACCAAATAAGGTGCGTTTCACTATACTAGAAATGTGACACGTCACCTTCGTGCGAATTCAGTATAAATGAGCAAAAATGCAATTACTTGTTGTGGTTTTTATGCCAAATAATAATTTGTGGAGTGATAGAATATTAAGGACGAATTCAACCAGAATTGACCTAACTACATTTAACGTTGCCTGATCTTCTCTCGTACATTTTATTCATTTCAACCGATTAGTAGACAACACATCGCCTGGAAACTTTCTTTAAAACCCTTTATTATGAGGGATACAATCACATAATTTACGTCTGAATGTGGTATAGTTTTTTTGTTTAAAAATAATAAAACATGAGAAGAGATGGGGCAACGTTTGATGTAGTAGGGCCGATTATGTTTGAATCCGTCCACATGTCGATGGTAGAACTATCGATCCACGTATCTACGGTTTGCGAAGTTTTTGTTGCAAGCTGATTATTGAAATTGATAGACAAGGCTATAGACAATGAAGACAAAGCAAAAACGGAGCGATCTTATTGGTGGAAGCGGATGGTTGCAATAGACAAAGGATAGGTAAGTAATAGACTAACTACCGGCAACCCACCAGAGACCCTATGGTTGGTCCATTATTTTCCCCCTTAGTCTATAACAACCGCCAGTTTCAACCGATTCCATTGAAATCGTTCAATTTTCCTTTGTAATTGTAATCTTTGTCTATCGCTTAGTCCATCGATTTTAATGAGCAGCCTGCAGTTTCCCTCGAGTGTGCGGTTATTGCTAGACCCCTTACTGTCAGAACACATAAATGAGGGAGTGATTAAAGCAGGCAAAAACAAGGAAAAATAAAAGGAGTACTTACTAAATTTCGGACACAGATATTGGCTAGATCATCGTCAACAGGTACGGAGGAGGGTATGGAGTTACTGCTATTCACACGATTAAAGTACTCATTCTCATCAAAACCATGCCCATTGGTCATCTACAGGCAGAACACCACGCAGAACAGAAAAAAACACACGAGCAAAAAATGTTAGTTACGTAATCACACCAAGCGAGAAAAAAATGCAGTGAGAAAAAATCGCCCGCCGAGCACTCGTCGGACTTTCGGGGCTCCGAAATGCGGCATGCAAGCGGTTTGTGGAAATATTGACCGATTCCCTGAAAAGCCGCGAGACAACTCACAAGTCTCGATCGAAGATTCGAAGCGAACGGACATTAGCCACATTACACAACGAAAATCGCAGCGTTGAGGGAGACATTTATTCCAGTGTGATTTAATGTCTGAGACTCGTTGGATAATGCAGAGTTGTCGATTTGAACGATGGTTATGCATGCTTGGTTTTGCATGTGATTACGAGTGTTTACATAACTATATTTTAATTCATGGAAAAATATACTCGGACTCGATGAAAATAGTTTACTCAATTAATTTTTCAAAATCTTACATATTAATACTTAAAATCGCGAAATTCGTGCTTCGTGCTTCGGTTAAGTTGTAAAATTGTGAAATTAAATGTTTTCCAAATATGTTTGATTTTCTTAGAGAAAAATGAACCTAAATATTTTTGGGAAATATCATAGAATGAGAAATACACAGAAAATTTCAAGAAGACGTTTTAGTTAATTTTTTCTTTTAAGAGGATAAAAAGTACGGATTCAACGTGACCAACATTATTATTTATTAATTTATTTATTTTTTTATTTATTTACTTTTTCATTTTATGTCTTTAGCAGTCGATATGTTAATTGATCAGGACGGAACATAAGGCTCTTCAAAATAACCAAGCGGCAAGTTTTTTCATTTCTGGATCTCTTTTCTTCAATTCAGAATATGTAAAAAAGAATAGTAAAAATACTGTGAATTTAGCTCATTAATTACTTTCATTAGAAGCAATAAAATTTCATAGTGCAAATTATATATTGATTTATGTCTTTTGCTACTTAGGGAAATTCATTTTCACCTAATCTCATCTTATTAACGGCAAAATTCGGCAGCGTTGGAAAAGACGGAGCCTGCAACAGCCAATACAATCGTCTCGGTCTTGACGTAACGATGCAGTGATCGCTCTGATAATACGGGTTTGCCAATTTAATTTCGAGTGTCAGCTCGCTCGCATTCGGCCTTCTTTCAATATAAAATTAATTTTGGGGAATTGGCAACAATGTCACAGTTACATTTTTATTTTCGCGTGATTCAACGAGGTGATTCGGTCGATATTAGTTAATTAAGACCCTAAATTCCACATCTAAGAGTTACTATTCCCATAACATTCACGATACTTGCAATACACACAAAAACAAGCGGAAAACCAATTGGAGTCCTAACTAAAAAATTGAAAGGAAAATTACAATCGGCTAGGTCTCGATCCGAAAATCTATGGCTTAACTGTTCAAATACGTATCTCAGGAAACACCGTTGCTTTCCTCTCGTATACATTATTTTTCAAAATAAAAATAAAGCATTATGTTTGGCAACTGTCTTTGTCATATTATTTGAAAAAAACTTCATATCGTGTATTCCTCGGAAAAATGACAATGTCGCGATAGGTATTGGTAATGCTTTACTTTATCGGCACATTTAGGCAACGCTGTAATTAAGTTAGGATGTAAGAGAAACAAACATAACTTCAATTAGTATCGCATGCGACGGATACTGAATGAATTTCACTGTAACGCCTGGATGCAACTATTCGAACTTCATGGAGGTCCGTGTTGCATACGCACGGCATTGAAGGCGTTTTGATTTCAGACACTTATCGTTTCACCAGCGGCTCTCGGTAAATGAGAGGAGTTGGGCATAATGTGAAAACATTAAAAGGTCATAGATATCGATCTTATTACGGAACGTAAAGGTTTTAGAAGCGGTTTCATTGATTTCCCCGTAAAATTCGTCTCAAGAAGCTTCGAATACAATTTATAATGTGAAGAAATTAACATCAAAATTAGCAGTTTCGGTCGAAAATTTCATGTCCAACCTCCCTGAGAGGCTCGTTTCGTTGTGTGGCGAGGATTACTCGAGGATCTGAAACGACAGAGTGCATGTAATTCTTCACTTATACTTCGAAGACGTCTCTTAGGCATGAATGGTTTGTTTTACAAATCATGCTCAGCACATCGCGATATCAAAACTGTAGCACAAAAAGTGCTCAATCCTGCGCTTGTATGTAATTATTCGTACCTGGAAAATGTCTTTGAAGTGTGATCAAAGAATTGAGAAAGAATTTCGGATCCTTAAAATAAAGCCCGCCATTGGTGTCTCACCGCAGGTCGCGGGTAAAGTGGTGCCTGCACAGTCAAAACGCCTTCACTTTCGTGCGTATGCAACACGGACATCCGTAGAGCCCGAATAGTTGTATCCAAGAGTTGAAATGAAATTTGTGTAGAGTTCGTCGCATTCGACACTAACTAGGAGTGCTTTACTTGGTTAGTTCATTTCTTCTGCTGAACTGAATCGTTAGAAAGAAATATTTCATTAACTAAAACATACAAAAAGGTCAATTTGATCGTCGTATCTCTGAACAGCATGCGACATGAATATGGGTCAGTTGTATTGAGTCGACAGTTGTGAGCTCCTGACAAACGAGTTCGTTTTGTGCCGATATTATCAGCTGTTTGATGAAAGTCTGACCAATAAAATGATCTTCAAAGCATTTTAATTGGTATACCTACTGTAAAATAACTGGCGAATGATGGGTCCCAAAACAATTGACGATGACTGATGAAAAATGTATATTCACTAGCGTGCAAGTGAAATCGGACACATTGGAAGCGTCAAAAACTACGATGGGCAACATCACCACAAACTCATTAAGCCTGTTTTAGTTTCTATTTTAAAGTGCCGGCTAATTCACTTCAGAAAGATCCCAAAATGAAATAATTCAAAATACAAAGTCATCAAAGTCATAAAATGTGTATCGGTGTTCACAACACTTAAATTTAGAAATTTTTGATTAAATTTTGTAGAATTACGAGCAGAGGAATTGATTTGAATTTTTAGAGAAAATATAAAAAGATACTGATGATAAAATGCGCAGAATAAAAAAAAAAAAAAAATTAAAAAATATTCTCAAAAATCTAAAATTTATCAGGAAACTTTCTCCTGAGCAAATGTATATTGATTCGCACACAATTTTTGGATTAGGACTTGTAAGAATAATTTTATATTTTGTGGACTGACTATTTTTTCCCGTTTTTCAAGAGAAAAAATAAAATTTGGATAGAATTCGCACTTGCAAATTTTCTAAACATAGGGTCTTTCAAAAGATACATGCTTCAATTGACGACGATATTAGTAATAAGACATTTTAATAGACTAAATAATCTAGAAATTGAACCTTCCAGTTTAGTTGGACACTTAAGACAACTCAACACACATGCTGAAACTGTGTATCATGCACACAAGAAACAACTAGTTCAATAAAACAATTTCAGAAAGGAACTCACCACAGATATATTTTCTTTCTCTTCGGATTTTTTAGTTTTCTTCGTCTTCTTGGTTTTCGTCGTGCAAGTTGATTCTGTCAGACTATTTTTCTTCTTCTTTCCTTTCTTTTCAGACATTGTCTCTGAGGTTTCCTCTGTCTGCTCCACCTGTAAAATACGAGAAAAATTTCCATTAAATTCTAGCAAGAAGAAAAGGCACACAAGACACTGTGAAATGATGGAACCTACTTTTATGCGATGCTTAAAGAAAAATCGACGAAAAATGAGTTGTCATTCACGATTTGGCGAACAAACTGTCATGCCGTCCTTTTTTGCTGGATATGGTGTCGGAAGTTTTTGATTTTCTCATTTCATGTTTCCCTGATTTTTTAGGCGAATTGTAGATAACCAATCGAGGTTTCCTCCCACTTTCTCCCAAACTCTGCAGGAAAGAACCGGATTTTCCCGGATGATAAGGCAAAATAAATTTTTTCTTCTCCATCTCTTGAATGTTTCTGAAGCATCATGTTATCGGAAACCGGTAAATGTGGGATCGAACTGTTTTTTTCTTTTTTCTGTTGCTTTTTATCCTAAAAGAGGCCTACGCCCNCCCCCCCCCCCCCCAAAAAAAAAAGGTTTAAAGGGAGAATGGGAAAGGATTCCGGGTTTACGGTATCAATTCCCTGATGACTCCCTTCATTTCCTCGGAGAATTTCCAGTCAATGATGAATCCTGATGTTTTCTAATTAATCCAGGCCAGAGACGCACCCAGCGAGTTGGCAACATTGTTTGTCTTCGCCATTTAAACCTGTGTTGAATAATCGATCCTTATCGAAGTACCCGGCCCCTTTGAAAATCGATATGTTTCCCCAAGGTTGAGTTACACGATCAAATTGAGTCATCAAACTGAAGCTCTGATTGGTGGAAAAAGACCTGAGGTGAGGATGCGACCAAGGAGAGGCCTAATTTGATGGCTCGATTTGATCGTGTAACTGGACCTATAGGTTTCAAGGAAGAGAAAGCAATGTTGCCAATGTTTCCTGGATTTGCCAATTATCTAGATCCCAGATGGTCAGTTCAATTTGTCTCCGGATGCTATCCACGTAGAAACGGCATATTCTTTGCAATTGGCTTTTCTAGTAATCCCACGATGTCCGTAACATTTTCAGCGACGACGTTGGCCCGCGACCTTGGTGCTTGCCAACTTTTGGCGGTACAGCAACATCAAAATAAGTGAGTCATTCCGTTTCCGTCCCAATTCGCGTCCGCGGCGGAAGGCCGCACCGTGACATTTCTGGAGTTAGGAAACTGCTCAATCGGGCGGCCCGAGAGAAAATTGGCCGACGCACTGTGGCAACAAGGGAGGTTGGCAACACTGGGCTTCACCCGTTTAAAATAATGTAAAATAATCGATAGATATCGATCAGAGACAATATGTTTCGGAGATCCCTAACTATAACGATCACAGCAATCTAATCCGATCAGGCAAAAGTTAATCTCTATGGTAAACGTTAATTTTTGCCGAATGATCGTCGATGAGCAACTTGTTGAAGATCAAATTCGCCGGATGATGACTGATGATTGTAGGGGTGAGTACGTAGCAGTTAGCTGGGCGGGCAGAATATATTTTCCGCATAAAGTATATTTGCGGTAATTTTCCGATTATCGTTGCCGCACAAAATCATTTTCGCACAAATCAGATCTCACACATCTGGCAACATCGCACAGCAGCTGAGCAGGACAATCATGCTTCCTCTTACTGTTGGACTGCTGAGTAAGGTAAAAAAAATGTTTTTCAATCTTTGTTCACTCATTTTTTTAAAATATGCCTCATATTTTTCTCGACGATGCGATGGCACATACTACAGAAAATTATTTAACGATTAAATGATTTTGTGCGGCAACCATAATCGGAAAAATTGCTACAAATGTGCTTTGTGCGGAAAAGATACTCAGCCGCAGAACGAGTTTTTGCAAAATAGGCCAGGAATTTCCGATGTGCCCGAGGTAAATTACGAACAAATTTCTGTGAAAAAGTCAATTAAAAAATATCCAAAATTTTTCGAGGAATTTCGTTTCATAACCGGAGACATTTGGCAACGTCTGCGAGTTTGAGCGGCGTTTTTTCTTTAGAGTGCGAAAAACACGCGGGCAAATGAGTTTGGCACGGTTACAAAAATGAATTTTCGGATGGTCCGGATTTTACGAATCATGATGAATTTCTAGAAAATAGTACTAAAATAGAAAGGTTCCCAGGCAAAATAACATTTTCCGGGAAATCTTTAAGGGCTTCGTAAAATAGAATTTAAAGAAATCGGCGTGGTAGTCACTTTCGACTTAACGAGGGTTTTAGGAAAAAGGGGAAGAGATTATTCTCCCAAAAATTTCATACTCTCATCCAACTCATTCCTTTATGTTAGTTGTAATTGGAGAATGAGCTTGGAGGACAAGGCGCATAAATGCAGTTTTTGCTACGGCAAGAAATACGTGTTTAAAGTTTCAAAATTACATGGAGCCTTACGGCGGATAGAAAGTTCAAGTTCACTTTTTGACGCATAAGAGTTGAATTTTAGTAGTGAATTTTTCACAGAATATATTTTCATACTAGTTTAATTGAAATCTTCAATATTTCCATTTTTTTCAAAATCTGCCCTCATGCGCCTTTTTCTCCAAGCCCCTTAAATCGTCGTTTCTCAGACGAAGGAACATAACTCAATTTCAAGGTTGCAAAATTGACTTAAAAATGTAACTTTTTAAAAGATAGTTCTTGTGCAGTTTTTGTCAAGAATGTATCTGAATTTCGCATTTGATCAGAAGTAAATTAGCAAAATTTCCTGTTAGAAAAGCCCAATATTCTCGTGATAAAAATGCAATCTCCGAGGGGAAATTTGGCAACATTGGAATTTGGTCACATTCCTTCGTGAAGAAAACGACAGGACGACCCTCGCCCTTAAAATTGGCGAATCTTGGTACAGACTTAAAAAAATTCGGCCACTTTCAATTTAGCTATCGGAGCTTTCTACCTCGGCTTTGAACCTGAACTTCCTCGTTGTCTCGATTTCGCTATTGACAGAATGCAAAACAATTATGACGGGCATGAATACGCGTGGTTAATTACAGCCTTCGTGTGGACTTTACAGCAGTACTTAGGACATGATTACTGAAAAGGATCAAGTTAAACACGGACTGAAAGTTTAAGACCGAGACTCGAAAATGGCCTCTGTTCGGATGAGTTTATACACGGTGGCCTAACAAGACGAAGGGGCAGCGAAGATAAACACGTTTGATATTCGGCAAGTTGTTCAAGGCTCGAGACTCGCGTATCGTAAAAAAGTTTAACAGGTCGTCTCTTTTCGGCCCAACTTTCCGCTCGGCGAGCTTTCGGGCGATGATTCATGGTGCGTGACGTCGTTGATGATCGAAAGAGTTTCGAGATAAAAAGTTTAAATAAACCTGAGGAGTCATTGGTTAACGCCTCTGTTTCGATGACTTCGACTCGAGACGGTATACTGCCCTGCTAAGGAAGAACGTCGTATGAGCCCTCAGACTTTGCCGTATTCCCTTCATTAAACAAAGAATGTGCTGGGAAAATTCTGAATGTTTTTCTTCAGACTTTTCAGACAATTTTGTTTGCAATTTAACCTAAAGTATCTGAAAATCTCAAGGGAAAATGTGCATATCTTTCCCCAAAAATAAGTATTTTATCGAGGGAAATTTGGCAACTCTCGAATGTTCATACGGCGTTCTTCCTTAGCACGGCTGTGTACAGGTGCTGCCATAAAAATGGGCGTATCGGGGAATCCATCGGCATGACCGATGTATAGCTCAAGTTTCCGGGAAGTTCTAGCATTTGGTTTTTCCGAGAGGAAATCTGATTGGGAATAAGTCGTGTTTAGAGATGCGTCTGCCTTTAAATTTCCCGAAGTGAGAGCGGGAGGGCTAGCAAAAAGACCGAAACTATAAAAGCTGACTATCCCGTGTAGCAGAAATTTAGAAAATAGGAATTCGATGGTGATACATGGCAATCAGGTAACTATTGAAAATTCAAAAATTGTGCAATGAAAATAGTTAAAAATAGTTGTCAAAAATAGCGATCTCATGGCGATAAATTGTAATTAAATAGCTACTTCTAATTCAACAATCAAACATGATTATTCATAGCAAGTTTGTATCTAACACGTAGATTAAAATTGCTATTTAATAGAAGTTTCATAGCAATAAAAAGACGGTTAATTGACTTTCCATAACTCATTTATCACTATCAATCTTAATTCTTAAATTTTACATAGGTACACATTTTTTTACTTGGGCCCTTATTTTGTAGTGCTGAAAAATAGATTCTTGGCGTGGAATTGATGCATAAGTTTGAAAAATCACGTCAGTCTCATTAAATCAGTTTTGAAGCTGACACAGCAGATTCCAGTCGTAAAATTCTCATCATGGTGATTTATCAAACTGAGAGGCGCTCTGCTCAAGTCTAGTCTTCAAGTCGTTTTTAGGCATAATCATCTGCTCAAAAATTAAATATCAACAAAAGTGTGGTGACTTCTTATTATACTAGACGGAAGTCTATCAGACCATTTTTCAAGGAATCAATCAGTTCATTAAATCAGTTTTGTGTTTGACATAATAAAAATTCCAGAAATTATATCTCATCATTTTGATTCCTTGGGATTGAGTAAATTGAAATTATTGTTCATTAAATCTTAAAAACAACGGTGGAAAATCAAATCTATTTCGGCCAAATGTCTCGCGATAAACGACATTCATTTAATTAATTGAGACCTTCCATGGAGTCATGAATTGGTCTGTTCAATCGGATTCTAAACCGATGATGCGACCATTTGATCTCTCGTGTGACGTTTCGGTATCAATTTTTTTGAAGGCGAATTATATGAGCGTATCAATCAGTGGCCGAGCTAATCCTTCGCAACGCGTCGGGACTCAAGTATCATCCATGTTTCGAACCTGGCATCTGAATCAAGTGTTGCGAGAGGCTGCACTATCATATGGAATAAATTTTCGGAACTACAATTTCAGGCTCCGTTTAGAAACAATGTATGTGCCATTAGTTTCCCTATGTGCATACGTATTTTTACCGACGAGTCAGAAATAGCAGTTCCAAATTGCAAAATGATGCTTCAGGATGCAACCATCAAATTCTCATG